TCCCAACAAAATGTGAAAGAATGTTCATTGAAAGATTGTAATTCCCATCTACATACAAAGAAACTGTTACCTCCAGCCACCTCCATCGCTAGAAGAAGGAGCAGCAGTCTCTTGATAAGCCAGCATCCCAAGATCAACTTTCCCAGAACTTAGGATAATTTGTTAATATTGTTTAGATCACAGCAATTTCCAAGCTTCCTCCTTAAGCCTTCTGCCCCCTTCTCTGCTGTAGTTCTCAACTGTGAGCCTTTTCAACCTCAATTAATGCTCCACAGAGAAGGTTAGAAGAAGTCCCCTAACTATATTCAAAATTAGGAAGTAAGAAAATTAGAAGGGACATACTTCCCATGGCACAAAAGAAAAAGTATGCCTATTTAATTCCCTGCCAGCATTTCAGAATACCAGCCATACAGGTACAGTGAGAGACCACCCCTACATAACTCATGAAATCTGCAAGGCACAATTCACATATAACTGCCACTGGTCTGCAGGACAGTAAAGGGACCAGCACTACCCTGAAAGGCAGAAAAGCCACTTCCAGACCAAGCCTTCTGCTAACCAGCTGTGTGACTGTGGACATTCGATTGAGTATATACAGCCAGTGTACTGAGCAATTGTGGGGGTTGGAGGTACACATAACAATGTAAGACAAGTCCCTATCCTTACCAGGCTAGAGGGGATTTGGGGACCAGATCTCCTCAAAGGTGCTTTTCTGTCAACTTTCATGAATCTGTGCACCATGTCCATGCTAAATAGCCAATTATTATGTTATTATGAGATTCAAGATACTTTGGAAGACTCGTTATCATCATACCAAAGCCATTTAATCCTATAGGGCCACAAGAGTCCAATTAGTGGGCTTGTGCACAGTTTTACATCAAGCTCGACTTCAGCAGTTGCTCTTGGTGCTATCTGAGCAGAGAAGAGTTTCTGGACCTAGGGTTCCATTGAGGCCCCTCATTAAATACTGCCATAATGCATACTTGGGTTGTGTATGGTCTAATGATACACATGTTAATCACTTTCTCTTGAGATGTCAAGCAAAATTTTCCTTTGATAAGAAAATTCCATTTCACTATTGCTGAAAATCCCTTTGACCTCTCTGTGTTCCCAGTCAACTTGGTCAGCTGATTATTTTGTAATGGACCCCCAAGCCAGCATCACATAAGCTCCATTTTTCCAGCCAACTTTTCTCTGTCTTTGACATCATTGATCTGCTATGTGCCTAAGTCCCCTTCCCTGAAATTCAGTACAAGTCTCCTCTTGTAGGGACACATAAAAATAACAGCGATAACAAAGCAGTTCTCATGTTTGTCCTTTCGCAGGAAATTGCCCTCAGCCTGTGAATCAAAAAGACCATTTTAATGTTCTTTCTTCTTTTGCCCACCTTCTCACCTCCAGCCCGCCCCTTTTGAAACAATGATAGTCTTTCCATCTGGTCCTGTTAACCCCTGGCTGAAAAAGAAAATTTTTCTACGTGATTGATATTTTGAGTGTGAATCTAGAGCTTTGCCTTCAGAGCCTGACAGAAAGAAATAAAAAGACAAATTATAGGTGCTTTGGTTGTCACAGCAGGGGCTCCTATCACGCCATCAGCTTTCTTGTCCACAAATGTGTGAGCTGCCTGAAAGACTAAGGTAATTGAAAGGCAGGCATAAACCTCCCTAGTTTCTCAGATATTAACGGAAATTGCCTCCTACAGAGGTTGTTTTCTGGGTTAGTGTTCTGAAAGAGAAACAGGCCATTCTGTTTCTAACACAAGTATTGAATACACTTTAACTAGTCCATCAAGGAAGAAAAATCTCAGTAGACTGATATGGCCACTCAGTTCTGCCAATCCTGTAGTAAGAATGGCCCAATATCTATCTATCTATTTATCTTTCTCTCTCCCTATTTCTCTTTTCTCTTCTCTTCTTTTTCT